CAGCCTCTGCCCGAGCTGCGGCTTCCCGAAGTTTCTTTTGCTTCATCTCGCTGAGCGGGAATCCATTCAAGGTAGGTTGACTCTGACACTCTTGTTCCCTGAGGAACGAATGTGGCAATCCTCCTCCTTCCCGATAGTTCATTCCTCTGTGGCCTTGGCTGCGATAATTTCTTTCTGCTGGGACGAGCGTTGGGTTCGCCTCCCCTTTGGAAAATTTTCTTTTCTTTTCTTTCCTCTCTTTTGCATGCATAAGAGGTCGTTGGGGGGTTTTGCTGTGAGGTTACGAATTTTGAGAGCATGGGAGAGACTTTGCGGGAATCGTATCTCGACTAGGTGCTTGTGAGCTTGAAGCTTGTGAGCTTGAGATTTCGGAGTGTCGTGGCTTTCTTTTGTTGATTAAAGAAGCTCGAGCAAGATATGTTTCCTCTCTTCTGCTCTTCTTCCCAGCTCGACACATGCTAGAGACATTAAAATAGGGGAATTCATGTATAAGGCTTCATTTTGTCTTAACTGGTATTTCATAACAACATTGCCATCAATTACTAGGCCTTCAATGTTTCCGTTGGGTTTGCTTTAAATGCTCTAGGGTGGTAGTTGAGATGGTAGTTTATGGAAAGCATGTTTTAATCCCTGTATACATGCAAGCTTTCTTTTTATACTCTTATTATCCCTGTACCTGTATGCTGAAGGCTACGGCCTTCTTTCTTTTCTCCTTGCTGAGTCAATTCACTATTGAAAGGAAGATTGTGTGTGTGTCTGGGAGAGGGGCGTGGGGGGGTTTACTTGCATTTCTCTATTTCCTACTATTTCCCCCTATTCGAAATGCATGCTGAGGAAAAATTTTACAGTTGGGGGGCTTATCTCTATTTCCCCGCTTCTTGTTACTGTCATATTCAAACTACATGTTGGACGACATTGGCATGCTTAATTTTCTATTATTAGAAGCTTAAAAAAAAAGAAAGAAAGGGAGATATCATTGAAAGGAGGGGCTCATTTTGGCTCCCTATGGTTGTCTGTCTTGTTCGAAATACATGTTGGAATTGTTTCTTGCTTTGAGCAACTGTTTTGGTGGCTCGGTTTTGCTTCTTATGTTGTTGCTCCTGTTCGAATATATGTTGGAATCCGTTTTGTGTTTTGAGCAATTAGTTTTGAGGCTTGGTTTGGTTTCTTGTTATTCCCCTTATTTGAATATATGTTGGAACCTGTTTTAATGCTTTAAGAAGTTGGTTTTGTAGCTCGGTTTTAATCCTTATGTCGTTGCCCCTCTATTCGAATCATACGCTAAAAGAAATATTGTCTTTTTTTTTTAGCTTTTGAAAAGGGCTTATTTCAGAGGGTTTACTTTCGTTCTTTATTGCTTCCTCTGTTCGAAACACCTGCAGATGGCGATGTTTGATTTTTGGAACTCTTAGGAGTTGTTTTGGGGCCCTGTGTTGCTCCCCTGGCCGTGAGCCCTCTTGTTGGTTCCTGGGTGTGGGTGTGGGGTTGGTGTTCTCTCCTGACGGCTCCTGACCGTGAGCCTTCCTGTTGTGTTCTCTTGTTTGTGTAGAGTGTTAGCTGATGGCTTCCCCCTTTGGGCTGCTCCTACTCGTGAGCTTGTGGTTGTTGGTTCGAGTGTTAGCTGGTGGCTTTCCCCTTTGGCTGCTCTTACCCGAGCGCACTTGTTCGTGTCTGTTGGTTCCTTTGCGCACCTATTTAGTGGTCCCCCTTGTTGTTCCTAGCCGTGAGCTCTTGATCTGTTGTCTGTAGTTCCTTTGTGTAGGGAGTTGGTGACTTCCCTCTGTTGCTCCTACCCATGCGCTTGTGGTTGTGATTTCCTTATGTTGGGCTCGGTTTTTCCGTCTTGGCTGCCCTCTTGTCTGCCCCTGGCCGTGAGCACTTGTTGGGTTTCTGGTGTAGTGTTGGGTCTGTATGGCATTGCAAGCTTTTGGTTCGAGGTGGAATAGAATGCTTTAAATATTTCAATTCTTTTTATTTGGAAGAATTCGAATGCCCCTTTTCGAGGAATGATTT